ACAACAATCTAGTTTTGAATTGCTTGAATACACTATGCCTTCTTCAGCATAGTTAAATGCAACACATGTTATTGTTTAGTTATCCCAGATATACCATATGTTGTTGTGTGAACAACAGTGTTAACTGAACGACAAGAGGACAATGTGACATCTAACATCTTCGGCTTTAGTGATATGCTATTTCCGGGATACATACAATACACATAGGTGGTTCCAGAGTGGGGTGGGGGTTGCGTACCCCCCTTTTTATCCAGAAAGTTTGTTATGTGATGTTATATGACCATTGAAACTCGGGTGGAAATGAAGTGTGCACACCCCCTTTTCCCAATAGTGTGCACCCCCTTTCTCAAAAAGCTGTACCCGCCCCTGAATACAGTGAATGGTGTTTTGAAAGAAGAAAACGTCAATCGTCATTTAGTCCTTTTTACATAGCCAGAATATCTGTCTTGGGAAGCACACCACAAATTCCTTGATAAACATCCATTTTGTTTAGAAACGTGTGAAATAGCGTTGTTTAATAGTCTAAGCCTTTACGTGGTGACATCAGATTCGATCGTCTTCATACGATATATCAACCTCGCTTTTCATCCTGGTGTCAAGGCCGCTATGAGTAACTACAGAAAATAATGATGACATGCTTTTAACATACTTTAGGAATGACTTAATCCAACTTTCAATACCTCTTCTTGTCCCTTTGTAAATTCAACCACTATCTATTTGTGCTAATTAAACGCTACCAACATGGCAATCTGTAATCATGGACACGTTTACATGATCAAAAAGGTCTTCATTGGCAGGAGATTGATCAACCGACATGTCACTACTTTCTGACTGGCATTTGTTCTCGAAATTAGTCATGGCGGTTTCCAGCTTAGTCCTCCTCAAGAAAGCTCAGAGTGAATAATTTAGTGTTCACCACATAGATGTGTTATAGCATAGCCTACATGAGCGTATTGACGGACAACACACTTTATTTCCATTTTTAATTTATTACAGTATCCACATTGAAATATAAACCCAAACTGACATGATACATAGTTTCTTATGCATGACTTTGTGAGCTAATTTTAATGTCAATACACGTGTCTGTTTGTATGTTCGCAGTGCTCAAGTATTCCTATATCCGTACATACTCTGGTGCATTATAGGCATACAATAAAATTGAAGTTCTATTCACATGAGCAGAACTATTTGAAGTGTAATTGAAAGACACCATTGTCAAATCGTATTGCAGTAACTACTACAGTACCTTTCGAAATGTAGTATGTATTCGGAGCTCATTCGCTTTTTTTCCCGTCAAGTCGTGTTCCCAACCAAGGCAGACGATGGCAGAAGTATTGTTGTGTTGACAAAGGGGGACTTTGTATCCAACAGGTGTACGTTGTCCCCCTCTACAGTGGAACTATTGATCTAAACATGCACACATATGCAAACACAACAGCATCCCTAAAAGCGAGAAGAAGTGAAGCTGAGTTTATTTCAATCTGTTGATTATTTAGTTCCCACATTCTCTGTTTACAAGTTGTGCTGTCAACACCAACCACTTCAAACACATACATGTATCTCAAATAACAGCATACCTTGTGTCTGTGTTTGTGCATTCTGTCCACACTTTATCCTCTAGGATTTTGCGTCATTACTTCATTATGACCCGAACCATAACTAACACTGGCTGTCCTTTATCGTGTTGGTCAGAACAAGGATGCTACGATAAAATAACATACTCACCCATACACCGACTGGTAGACTAACATTTAGAATCTAAAATACACATTTTACAGAAAAACTGTTCATAAATAATAATGATTATGAAGACTTGCCACATATTCTAGACTTACATGGGCTTTCTTGGATTTATTTGTTTCCGGGTTGGTCGGTCTCTCTCTTTATCTATCTATCTATCTATTTCTATCTAACTCTCTCTTTCTTCTATCATCTAACTCACTCTCTTCTCTCTATCTATCATCTCTCTCTCCCCTCTCTCTCTCTCTCCTCTCTCTCTCTCTCTCTCTCTCTCCCTCTCTGTGGTCAATACTGACTGTTCTTCATCTGCGTAAAACCATACTGAAGTCACAGCCGACTATATGACTATATACTGTACTAGTATTATTGGCAGTTGTAATACTTGTGGAATTAGTTGTTGTAGTCATGGGTGTTGATTATACAATGGTTCTGTAATACTAGCAGTAGGTGTGGTGGTGGTGCTGGTAGTAGTAGTAATAGTGATAGTGGTAGTAGTTGTAGTTGCAGTAACTGACCGACCGTAGTTGCTGTAGCAGTGGTGGTGGTGGTAGTAGTAGTGTTGGTAGTGGTAGTAGTTGTAGTTGCAGTAACTGACCGACCGTAGATGCTGTAGTAGTAGTGGTGGTGGTGGTAGTAGTAGTGTTGGTAGTGGTAGTGGTAGTAGTTGTAGTTGCAGTAACTGACCGACCGTAGTTGCTGTAGCAGTAGTGGTGCTGGTGGTGGTAGTAGTAGTGTTGGTAGTGGTAGTGGTAGTAGTTGTAGTTGCAGTAACTGACCGACCGTAGTTGCTGTAGCAGTAGTGGTGCTGGTGGTGGTAGTGGTAGTGTTGGTAGTGGTAGTAGTAGTGTTGGTAGTGGTAGTAGTAGTAGTTGTAGTTGCAGTAACTGACCGACCGTAGTTGCTGTAGCAGTGGTGGTGGTGGTAGTAGTAAGAGTAGTGTTGGTAGTGGTAGTGGTAGTGGTAGTGTTGGTAGTGGTAGTGGTAGTAGTTGTAGTTGCAGTAACTGACCGACCGTAGTTGCTGTAGCAGTGGTGGTGGTGGTAGTAGTAGTAGTGTTGGTAGTGGTAGTGGTAGTGGTAGTAGTTGTAGTTGCAGTAACTGACCGACCGTAGATGCTGTAGCAGTAGTGGTAGTGGTAGTAGTAGTGTTGGTAGTGGTAGTGGTAGTAGTTGTAGTTGCAGTAACTGACCGACCGTAGATGCTGTAGCAGTAGTGGTAGTGGTAGTAGTAGTGTTGGTAGTGGTAGTAGTTGTAGTTGCAGTAACTGACCGACCGTAGATGCTGTAGCATTAGTGGTGGTGGTGGTAGTGGTAGTGTTGGTAGTGGTAGTGGTAGTAGTTGTAGTTGCAGTAACTGACCGACCGTAGATGCTGTAGCAGTAGTGGTAGTGGTAGTAGTAGTGTTGGTAGTGGTAGTGGTAGTAGTGTAGTTGCAGTAACTGACCGACCGTAGATGCTGTAGCATTAGTGGTGGTGGTGGTGGTAGTGGTAGTGGTAGTAGTTGTAGTTGCAGTAACTGACCGACCGTAGATGCTGTAGCATTAGTGGTGGTGGTGGTAGTAGTGGTAGTGGTAGTGGTAGTGGTAGTAGTTGTAGTTGCAGTATCTGACCGACCGTAGATGCTGTAGCAGTAGTGGTAGTGGTAGTAGTAGTGTTGGTAGTGGTAGTGGTAGTAGTAGTAGTTGTAGTTGCAGTAACTGACCGACCGTAGATGCTGTAGCAGTAGTGGTGCTGGTGGTAGTGGTAGTGGTAGTGGTAGTGGTAGTAGTTGTAGTTGCAGTAACTGACCGACCGTAGATGCTGTAGCAGTAGTGGTGCTGGTGGTAGTGGTAGTGGTAGTGGTAGTAGTTGTAGTTGCAGTAACTGACCGACCGTAGATGCTGTAGCATTAGTGGTGGTGGTGGTGGTAGTGGTAGTGGTAGTAGTTGTAGTTGCAGTAACTGACCGACCGTAGATGCTGTAGCATTAGTGGTGGTGGTGGTGGTAGTGGTAGTGGTAGTAGTTGTAGTTGCAGTATCTGACCGACCGTAGATGCTGTAGCAGTAGTGGTAGTGGTAGTAGTAGTGTTGGTAGTGGTAGTGGTAGTAGTTGTAGTTGCAGTAACTGACCGACCGTAGATGCTGTAGCAGTAGTGGTGCTGGTGGTAGTGGTAGTGGTAGTAGTTGTAGTTGAAGTAACCAACTGGGTGAAGCATCAAAAGATGCCACATAAGGACTAAATACCTAAGGTCAAGAGGTTTTCCACTCCCGTCAATGAATTATCGCGTCTATATATAAATTCACTTTAACCTAAAGGAATATATATTTTAGACAAGGGTTACCGAAGCGGGAAGTAATATCGTTTTCAACTTGTTTATTTCCATTTACACGCCAGGATCCTGTATGGGAGAATACTATGTCCTGCTTAACCTCGAGGTGAGACTGGAAAGTAGCCAGTATCAAGATCCGTGCCAACATCATCGGTGACATAGTGATGAGGTGAGTGATCTTCAAATCTGTTGTTCAAACGGAAAGTAACAACAAGCAGGGGAATCTATAGCATCTTAACTAGTACAATGCACTTAGAGTTATTGCCCTTCAACCGAGTAGCCACTCACACAACAATGTTTGTTTTGCCTGGTACAACTATTATAACACTGTATTTTCTGTGGTTGGAATAACTGTGATTATAATAATCGTCGCCAACTTACATGTACATGCAGTTAGTAAGTTAACTGTTTTCCACAGTCAGTAGAGATCCTTTGTGGTTAGACTAGGTCAATATCAGCTGATAAATGGGGTTTAAGAATGAAATACCATGTAGAATGCTGACATGAATACCCTACTCAGACACAGTAAAGCAGTCCTTGTTTGTCTACTCAATGCCTTACAGGAGGCACAATAACTGACCAACCACCATCTTTAGCCGTCTTAAGATATGGCGCGAACCACCTCTCTTCAGTCCACTTGTAACTAGACCCCGGATGTAGTTAGGGCCTCAGCAATCTATGCGTTTCACGGCAATCCATAAAATGAATAGATGGTCATGGTGACATGGTTCCTAAAATACCATTGTCCCCGACCGCAGTACCCGACATGTTGATCTTAATATCAATCACCGTTTTGTCTGCTTAAGTCTTGATTATTCACACGATGTGTTTGTCTAAAAATAAACACATTTATGTATGAAATGAAATGATATATTTTTCTCCTATTTTTTGATGATTTAGATGATCATGGAGAAAATGCGCGACAGATATAGTGCTGCTTCCTGATCCGGACAGTATTCAGGGTCTGAGTGTCATAACCATACCTCTCATGCCTGATAACGAGTGACCGGAAGTGAATTATTGTTACATTACTTGGTATATCTACAATAACAATGGCAAAGAAGGCATCACATAAAGCCAGCAACACCGACGTGACGTATACTAACTACACGGACCATAATATCATATCAACGTCAACACATTCCATTCTCCAAATGGGAAACATTTGTACAGCCTACACCATCAACGTCACCCGGGACTTCTTGGACGCCATCAAAGACAAAGGTGGAAGTCTGACGTGTGAGTTACATTTTCCATATTATTGATTATAATTTAAATTGGCTCATTAATGATTTATCATTTGTGTATGTAGAGGGTAACGGCAGTGTGCTTATACAAGGGAGGTGTTAGCGTTCAAAACCTATCAACACAGTCAGAAGTTATAATTTTATGTATGTGTGATGAATCTGCTACTGCGAACCACGCTATCAGGATGACAATTTCCAACCAAATGCCGTTTCTCGCTATGTGTAAATGTATCTCATCGACATTCTAAGAAGGAAACAATGACACCTTCACCCCCAAAATATCAATATCAGTTTCAGGGTCGGAACAACCACTGCTACGGCTGAATTGGAAAGGAAACAATGACGTCTCCCAAGCCTGCATCACGAAGTGGAAGGTGGATGTATTGTCAGTTTTCAAGGGATGTAAGAGTGCGATTCTGCAGGAGATCTCCAAAGACATATTTGATCCTCTCCGCCGAGAGATCATCGAACGAATATATCAAGAGCACGACGCCCTACTGTCAGCTTTACTTGGTGGAAGTTTGATATTTGTGTTCATGCACAGAAACAGAAATGATGCAGATAAGATGATCGAGAAGAAACACGAGATAAACAAGATCTTCCAGCAACTCATCGGAAATATTGGCAACAGGGAGATTAAGTTTGCTCTGTCTGCTGAAAGGTAAGAAATCTTTACCCCTTTCTTTATATTGTATCATTGCAATGTTCAACAGAAACGCGTTAAAAAGTCTAGATCAGTACAATTTGCAAACACTTACAGGACGTTTCTAAACATAATATAACATAGTATATATTTACTGCTGTTAAGTTCCAAGTGTTTGATTCTGTAAGCCCTTCAACACGAAAGGCTAGACCATTCAAGTATCCCGCTGCATGTATTAAATCCATACGTGCATGGCGAAACTAAGGGATTTGCCAATTCCAACATTCAATTATGCATATACTTTGTGTCCTTTTGCATTGCTTTCTGACAAGGTAGGCACAATATGTTTTCCTTTTTATCGCATGAACTAAACGGGATACTTATTTGTCGACTTCCAGGGGCCGTGGTAAAAACAACTAAGGTTGAACTTAGTCACTAAGGTAAACCTTAGAGTAATCTAAAGACAAGTTACGTCCGTTGCACAAAGCTACCTTAGGTCAACCTTAACTCGGGAACGGTATTTAGCGGCAACGTTAACTAAGGTTGAAATCTTGAGTGCTGGAAACTCAACCATGTCCGTAGTTACGGTTGTGAGTTATCTCCTCGCCGGAACAATTAATGGTTTGACTGTGTATCGTAATGTGGACAACACGCGCACATGTTTTGGCATCAAATTCACGTACATGAAAAAGGATATTTCATAACACAAATATATGTTTTAGGATAAGACTTTTCTTTCTTTATGATTATGTGGCTATTGCTCTTCATAAATAGACAAGGAATGTGCAAAGATATATCTGGAACTATCAAAATAATGAAGCAAAGTTTGTCCAACGGAAGATGTGGCATAGTTTAAATTTATTGTTTTACCATTCTGTTAGAAATACGGTTACAGTTAGATATCATGTCATCATAATATTTTTTTTCGAATATATCTTGATTTTGTTATCAACAACGAGTAAATCGTAAAAGGTTGGTTACAAACGCACCTTGCCACTTTTTATACACCATTGTTTTGTCCATAAAATGGCACCAACAACAAAAATGAACAAGACAATTCCTTTTAAACTATGTGCATATTCAGTTCATAGAATATAACAATCATTTTCATTAAGATTGTCAGTTTTACTTATAAGGTTAAATTAATCACTGTTCATTAACCTATTCACATGAAATAACAATTAATATAAAATTGCACACAGTAAGTAGTACATGTTGCAGTTATGCCAACTTTTATCTTCTAACAATTGTGTAAAGGCTAAACATGTCGTCTTATTGTCCCACTTAAGTCATACGCCTCAACTAATTAGTTTAAAAAAATAATAAGGCTGCTTGTGGGAGTGGGACATGTCCCAGCGTGACCTCATGTAGATGTCAAAGGCAGTTAATCTCACCATTTTGATGACAGTGCCTTCCTTCCTATTGGCTCTGCTGACCGCCGTACCTTGCACGTCATGTATTAGATAAATTGAGTTGAGTTTTATGCCGCATCGGCATTATCTCAGCCATATAGCGATGAGACCAAGTCTACATACAAGGGCTTGTTAAGTAAAACATATTTGTTCAATACATTATTATTTACAAATAGAAAAAAGTCATAGAACACAATTATAAACAACCAATACGTCTTTAACATCGCATAGTTACAAGTTATGATACAGATATGATACTTCTCAAGAAGTTCGCACGCGGGAAAACAGATCTTTCAGATTTATCGCTTCATAATGAGAATTCCTTGAATTTGACAAGTCCACACAGTTAAGCAAAATAGGCTTGATGGGACACACTTCATCGCAAGAGATACACACAAGAGGCCCATCTCCATCCTTTTTGAGCAGATAGTCATGAGTAAAGAGACTGTGATCAATACGACATCGTCGTAAAATGACCTCATCACGTCTGGACTGACAACCCAAGACGGCATAACCAATTGTATTAGATAGGGATACTGGGAATGGTATTAGATAGGGATACTGGGAATGGTATTAGATAGGGATACTGGGAATGGTAATAGATAGGGATACTGGGAATGGTAATAGATAGGGATACTGGGAATGGTATTAGATAGGGATACTGGGAATGGTAATAGATAGGGATACTGGGAATGGTAATAGATGGGGTTACTGGGAATGGTAATAGATAGGGATACTGGGAATGGTATTAGATAGGGATACTGGGAATGGTATTAGATAGGGATACTGGGAATGGTATTAAATAGGGATACTGGGATAGGGATACTGGGAATGGTAATAGATAGGGATACTGGGAATGGTAATAATTTTGCACCAATGTATGTTTTAATCTTTCGAAAAGTTGACAAATTGTGTCTTAAAACAATGGACGAGAAGTCGATCGCATGATCGCCCGTAATGTAATAGTAAATCATGAAATATTTTTATCATTTATTCTTGTAAGAATATTCTTAAAACGTATCCTTTTTCAATACAAATTTGCATGTATGGTTATATTTCACAAAATGAGGAAGTACAAATCAATTGTCACAATATGGGATGAATGGCCACGGGCAGAAAGTAGAATAAATGAAATGTCCCGACGGAGTACACGCTTGTCAGTCAAGGCCAGGCGAGAACAAACAGGAACTCCATACAGTCCAACCACACTCTAACATAACATATACAGTCAAACCAAATTACTATGTGCTCTTGACATCATATTTGCTGCTCTTTATACAGGCTTTGAATAGCACTCGACTATCAGGGTTATGGATTATCAGAGCAGACTGTTAGTAGCCGTTCAATTAACTGTTGCAACAAATGTTAACTCTCTGATGTATTTGGAATTTAGAACCGTCTTTAAGCAGATAGAGACATATATACAGATATTGTTAGCATATACAGACAGATATACAGCTATTGTTAGCATATACAGACAGATATACAGATTTTGTTACCATATACAGACAGATATACAGATACAGTTAGCGTATACAGACAGATATACAGATATTGTTAGCATATAGAGACATACAGATATTGTTAGCATATACAGACAGATATACAGATATTGTTAGCATATACAGACAGGTATACATATATTGTTAGCATATACAGACAGATATACATATATTGTTAGCATATACAGACAGATATACATATATTGTTAGCATATACAGACAGACATACATATATTGTAAGTGTATACAGACAAATATACAGATATTGTCAGCATATACAGACAGATATACAGATATAGTTAGCATATACAGACAAATATACAGCTATTGTTAGCATATATATACAGATATACAGGTATTGTTAGCATATAGAGACATACAGATATTGTTAGCATATAGAGACAGATATACATATATTGTTAGCATATACAGACAGACATAAAGATATTGTGAGTGTATACAGACAGATATACAGATATTGTTAGCATATACAGACAGATATACATATATTGTAAGCATATACAGACATACATACAGATATTGTAAGTGTATACAGACAGATATACAGATATTGTTAGCATATACAGACATATATACATATATTGTTACCATATACAGACATATATACAGATATTGTTAGCATATACAGACAGATATACAGATACAGTTAGCGTATACAGACAGATATACATATATTGTTAGCATATAGAGACATACAGATATTGTTAGCATATACAGACAGATATACAGACAGGTACACATATATTGTTAGCATATACATACAGACATACAGATATTGTAAGTGTATACAGACAAATATACAGATATTGTCAGCATATACAGACAAATATACAGCTATTGTTAGCATATATATACAGATATACAGGTATTGTTAGCATATAGAGACATACAGATATTGTTAGCATATACAGACAGATATACAGATATTGTTAGCACATATACATTGTTAGCACAGATATACAGATATTGTTAGCATATACAGACAGATATACATATATTGTTAGCATATACAGACAGATATACAGCTATTGTTAGCATATATACAGACAGATATACAGATATTGTTAGCATATACAGACAAATATACAAATATTGTTAGCATATACAGACAGATATACAGATATTGTTAGCATATACAGACAGATATACAGATATTGTTAGCATATACAGACAGATATACAAATATTGTTAGCATATACAGACAGATATACATATATTGTTAGCATATACAGACAGATATACAGATATTGTTAGCATATACAGACAGATATACAAATATTGTTAGCATATACAGACAGATATACAGATATTGTTAGCATATACAGACAGATATACAGCTATATACATATATACAGACAGATATACAGATATTGTTAGCATATACAGACAGATATATATTGTTAGCATATATACAGATATACATTATTGTCATATATACAGACAGATATACAGATATTGTTAGCATATACAGACAGATATACAGATATTGTTAGCATATACAGACAGATATACATATATTGTTAGCATATACAGACATATATACAGATATTGTTAGCATATACAGACAGATATACAGATATTGTTAGCATATACAGACATATATACATATATTATTTAGCATATACAGACATATATACAGATATTAGCATTAGCATATACAGACAGATATACAGATATTGTTAGCATATACAGACAGATATACAGATATTGTTAGCATATACAGAGAGATATACAGATATTGTTAGCATATACAGACAGATATACAGATATAGTTAGCATATGCAGATATATACAAATATTGTTAGCATATACAGACAGATATACATATATTGTTAGCATATACAGACAGATATACAGATATTGTTAGCATATACAGACAAGATATATACAGATATTGTTAGCATATACAGACAGATATACAGATATTGTTAGCATATACAGACAGAATACATATACAGCACATATTGTTAGCATATACATACAGATATACATTGTTAGCATATACAGACAGATATACAGATATTGTTAGCATATACAGACAGATATACAGATATTGTTAGCATATATATACAGCATATATACAGGTATTGTTAGCATATACAGAGAAATA